ATTTTTCTTTAATACCAGTAGTGATGAGATTGAGAAACCTTGGTCTAGAGGTAATATATTTCTTTGAATCTACATTTGTTAATAGTTAGATCTAAAGGCTTCATTAGATTCAGATTTTTTTTAATATTTATTTATTTCTAGCAAAACTATTTCATTCTACCTCATAGGCAATGTTGCACTATCATCAGGAAGCACATAATGTCTGACTCTCTCCCTTTCTCTCTCTCTTTCATCAGCGTGGGAAGTATGGATGCGTAATGTCTATATCCATTTGTTCATTAATGGTTGAAAAGTGATGGTGTTGTGTTTTTACTCCTAATTCATTTGATGCACCTATTTCTTGGAAACATTCATTACCAATGTTTGATATGAAGATAGCATTGTGCATAAAACCTTGACACATTCCATATTCTTCTTTTTTTTAGAAACATCCTGTACCACCTAGATGAGAAGACAAGCCAATTTTCCATGCTCCTGGAGGCTTGGGAGCACTGCAAATCACTGCCATCAAATGAGACCCTCCAAGAAGCCCTGTCAGAGGTGTTAAACAGCATTAATTCAGCTCAGGTTTACTTCAAAGCAGGACTTGATGTGTTTGAGAGTGTCCTGGTTGGAAAGAATTGAGAACACTCTCAGCATTTTAAAAAGTTTGTTTACAATTCCACAAGCAAAAACTCTAATCTGACCACAATTTCTGACGTTGAAGACTTTTCCCCCAATGACTTTTTTGACAGGTCTAATGGTGTGATTACATTGTATTTTTTTAATATACATCTAAATGGAGCATTTTGCACACTTAATGTTTGTCTTATATCTGTATCTCTGAATATGAAATAGCAGGTGTGAGAAATAATACTAAAGATTTATCTATTAAGAAGAAATCTGCTGTATTTATATATAAAATTTTTTTAGGAAAAAAATCCTAAGAAGTTTTGGACAATCTTTGCTCCTATGGACATAACACATAGGAGCGAAACTTATTCCCTATGTTACAGTTATTAATGACCTAATTTCTGCAAGAGAACTGGAGAGTGGATATAGCTTCACATTAACTTCATTATTAAGTGTTCAGTATGAAGAATTCAAGTATTCTGACAGTGATTAGTTGAACAAAACCACTTTGAATGTTTCTATTTTATGAAATGAAGTGTTTGTTCTTCATACATACAACTAGATGTAGTAATACACTGGTTATGAAATTGCATTTTTTAAGTATTAATGATAAAAAAAAACAAAAACAACAAGAAAAAGCCATAAACATTCCAGGGAAAAATCCCTAGTTTCTGCATAGAGCAATTTAAATGCAAATTTTTTCCTAACAATTTACAAGGTGACTATCTTTGAAAACCCTTATTTGCCTCAGTTTATTTTGTAAGAATTTCAGGAGTGATATATACCTTATGGGGGAGAAAATATATATATTTTTTTCTGTTGTTTCTGCTGGAACCACTGAAACAAAGGTTACTCTAAAATGAAAGCATCTCACGTTGGTTTTCCTTCCTGTATCTTTTCTGAAACCTCTAGCTATAACTTTTCACAGAATAATATACAATTTCCATAGGAAAGTAGCAAAGTTTTCCTTTGAAAACTCAAAATATCTTAAAAAGCATCAAAGTGCTATTTCCCCCTGACAAAAAGGACTTATTATGAAAGAAATGGTTGTTTTGATCAAAGGTAAGCTCTTAATTTTATGAAGAAACTTTTGATTTTTTTTTTTCCCCTTTCCCCTAAATGGTGACTAAGAAGAAAATATTCATGCTTGTAGAGAACTGAGGTAATAAGCTAGATAATTCAAGTACAAAGCCTTTTCATATGAGTTGCCTGGTTGCACATGTTTTCTCGAGGAAAATTCGAGTACAATTTAGTTTTTTAATAAACCTGATTCCCTGAAAATATTTGCCATGATAAGGAGTGTCTATAGGAAAAGTTTAAACAACTAGGTTCCTGCACACCTTAACATGAGTGCCCCATCTTGCACTCCAGAGATCAAGGTGGAAATACACATACAGATACATGAGGGGCCAAATAATAGAATGCCTTATACCAAATAATCTTAGCTAGTTAATCAAGTTGCAACATGTTCATTCCAATACTTCATTGGAAGATGAATTTAAAACAAATAAACTATATCTTTTACAGTTTAACATTTCAGAGAAAAATTCTAAATAAATGTGTTCCCTTAATGTGCAATAAGATTGAAAACACATAATGTTTTTCTTCTTTGTCATTTTGTTTAAAGACAGTATACCTACATTAATCACATTGGTCAGATAAAAATTTCAAAAGTCTGTGTTCTTCATTTCTAAGTTATGTGGTATTTGGTATTTGAAAACTTCAGTTAACTATGGACTAACATGTTTTTATTGGTCTATTTAAGAGATTATGCAAAGAAACTAAATAATAATTAAAACAGATGTCCAACAATTCTACAGAAGCTGCTGTACGTTACTAACTACAACAAACCCCTTAGCTAGCAACATTACTGCTTTTCTATAATTACCTCAGAGTTCTTCCAAATTTGTATAATTTTAGTTTTCTCTCTATAGAGCCAAGTAAATGAAACCCTGAGAAAATTAATAGCAAGAGTTTTCTGTGAGTTGTTAGTGTATTTAAATTCTTGATGAGACATCTGGGAACCTTGATCTTCTCACAACCCTTCATGTATAGAGTAGTGCCCGGACATAAACTATCACAAATGGTTATCCTCCCAGGAAAATGTGGTAAAAGTTCAAGATGAAAATTTGGATTCAGAAGAGGTATATATCATTCTTACGGAAACGCTAGGTTCTTGTTCTCAGTCAGGGAAGACATCATTACTCTTATCAGGTATAGGAACTGAAGCCAAAATGAATAATAAACTGGAACATAGTCCTGTATTTAGTGGCAAAAGCACTACCAGATTCAAACTTTCCTACTTTCTGGTACAGTATCCTACTCTCTCTCCAAGAACGTAGTGATATAGGTGTCCTTTTCCAGTGCTCTCTTTGTAACTGGCCATTCTATCAGATGCTGTATGGGCTGTGAGTACTGCTTTTAATTCAGGGTTAGCTCATTCTCTGACTAGACCTGACAAGCAGACTTGCCCCAGGGAATCTAAGCAAAGGATGCAAAGACTAGGTACTTGAGAGGAAGGGAAGAGCATCTCCACATGGCACCAGAAGTCAGGAAGGAGAATCGAATAAACTTGTCTGGTTAGAGGACATACTAGTTCTCTATTACATCAGCAATTTATTAAGTGTTTCTCACAATGTAGATTTAGGGAGATGAAACTTAGAAATCATCATCTTCAGTAAAATTTCCAATTGATACTTAAGTGCCCTAAAGTTTCAGAATTCCTAATTTACATTAATCCTGAGTACAGTGAAAGCATTGTTGTTGTTGCTATGTGCCGTTGAGTCGTCCCTGACTCATAGCGACCCCTTCTTGGGCTGCTGAGGCAGTATCACTATGAAAGTAGATTGTCCAACCTTCCTTCCGAGAAGTGAAAGCTTAGTTGGCAACATATCAAAACAAATAGAACAGTCACAATACAAGAGGGACCTAAAGCTTTGCTATTAATGGCACCATTAAAAGACAGAAGAGCCATTTCATCCCTTAGGAAAGAAATCAGGTACAGCTAACATCTGTGTCTACAGGCACTGTGCTAGACTTTTTCATGTTTTTTTGTCTGGTTGGTTGTTTTTGTTTTTTCCTTTCCTTAACTGAATTCCAGCTATTTTTAAAATGAGGAAACTAAGTGAGTGACTTAGTTTGTTACCACAGTAACAAAAATCACTGAAATTTATTTCTGTATTTTGTCCTCTGATGTCCAGTCCTGTGTTCTTTACTCTGTCCTATAGATAACATCAGAAGGATCTTTTGGTTGCAAAAAGTGACATAATTGAAATCTTAAATATATTTCTGCACAAATGGTCCTACTGTGTGTGCAGTCAGAAGCTTCACTGGTATAATGAAGGAATTTGAAGAGTAACATTACATTATTCCTTGTGATGGTAACCCACCCCAACAGTGGTAAATATATGTTGGTAAATTTGAAGATATTTATAAGAGCATTACACATAATTATACCATTGTAATATATCATGATGACTAGATTTACAAATGTTAAAAAGAGACAAATAGCCAAAAGCTTCACAATTTCCTTCTCAAAATGTCTATATAATTTACCCGAAATGAGCAGATACTCCCATTTATAACCAGTTTTATTCCATTCTTAGAAAATATGAACACCTAATTGGCTTTATTTAATGAAGTAAACATATTGCTTAATTAAAATGAACATATACCATATTTCCTCTACCTATAGCAAGTTGCTATATATCTATCTCTGGGAAGATACTGTTACAAAATGAAAATAAATAAATAATGATGTGTTACCATCTAACTAATGTTGAATTGGGAGCTATGGTGGCGTAGTGCCTAAGCCATTTGACTGCTAACCAGAAGGCTGGAAGTTCAAACCCACCAGCCACTCCTCAGAAGGAAGGTTGGGCAATCTACTTCTGTAATGATACTGCCTCAGAAACCCAAGAAGGGGTCACTGTGAGTTGGATCTGACTCAAAGGCAGTGAGTAATGTTGAATCAGCATCTTTGTCTCAAATGAAAAACTAAAATTATTTGCATGATAAATTGGTAGACCTAGCCAAAAAAATGTCCTCATGTGACATTCTGTGGTATGTGTAATTAATTATTTCAAAAATTAGGTTTTCTTCAGAGGGTAACACATTCTCATTTCTTTGGTTTAATAGGCTATTTAAATGTGCCTTAGATGCACATTCACTTAATAGAAAGGAATTATTTTAAACTCTCAATCCATGTGTTGAGTGGAAAGAAAATGGGCCCACGTATCCCAGTAAATATATCAACAACATAACAGTTTTATTACAAGACAATGAACACAACCCAGGGGGAAAAAGAAACAAACAAACAGTGTCTTATTTGAGAAAATAAATATTCTATCCAGCTACACTAGTGAATTTGCATTTATTACATGAGTTTAAATTGCTAGCTTAAAAAAGCCTCATTAGAATCTCCTATTCTGAAAGATCTTAAAAAGCTTCACAGAGTTCTAAACACCCCATCAAATGCAAATATTTTTCAGTAAGTGGATTTGTGTTATACAATTCAGAATTTCAACTGGCATAAATTTGAAGGAAGAAAGATAGGAAAAAAAAAACTTATAAAATGTAATATTTTATAGCCATCACCACGCACACTCAATTTTCTATTTTCTCTTTCTAGATACAGACTTGCAATGGGGATTTAGGTTTTGGTTTTGGATTGGTTTTTCCTAAGCAGGAATTTTAAGATCTGTCCATCTCTACATAAATTTATCTGTTAGTCACCTCAGTTAGTCTGTATACCTTTCCATTACCCTTCCAAGATATACACTGAAGTGCCTTCAGCAAACCTGGGACTGCCAAGAATCCTATGTCAAGATGACATATTTCTAAAACACGTTTATAAACTGATACTCAGATTGTATTTAAATTTACAAAACAAAGGATTAAATTGCGGCAATTTCAGGTAGTATTCAAGAAAAAGAAACCATTTCAAATTGCAATGTTTCTGGTTAGATGATTTTATGTTTGGATTATAGTCATATAGTTTTCTATAACCAAAA